ACTTCCGTTTTGTTTTATTGATATTAGTAGGTCAGCACCACTCATCAAGCTAATATCGCCCTCATCATACGCATTTTAAAATCATTGTTTTCTTTCTTTGGAACTGATCTATGTGCATTCATTTGGATATTAAAGTTCTTTCGTGTTTTTTTTTTCCTGTCACCTTATTTTACTACCATTTTCTTTCCCGAAAGCATCACATATCGCCTTTAAATGTAACTTTCATTTAATGTTGTTGTATTTAAACTGTTAAAACGTCTGCAAAAAACCTGTTGGTTCTCCGAAATGTCCAGTATCATAGCCACTTTTTCCGTCCTCATCCAGTTCTACCCATTCAGCCTTAAACCCCCTCAGTTCACAACTAGTATCTTACACCAAGGAAATATAGTTGCAAAAGAAAACAAGTATGAAAAATTCGTTCTTTTTTTCCCATGAATTAGCATTTTTATGTTATCATTTTTGGATGAAAATTCCTATGCGAAAGTTGAATATCACAATTTTCCATCCAAAAAAAAGCATGGTTTTCAAAAGATAATAAATAAATAAGGAAGAGAAATCTTATGCAATTTATCATGTAAAAGCATCTATCGGAAGACTATTACGTGCTCATAAATTTCTTTCTTTCCTAGTCTTCTCAAAAAAATTTCGCATATTTCATGTTTCAGTCGTATGTTTCAATATTGATTTTCACAGAAATATGCTTGCTGCATTTGAACTTTATGTATATTTAGCCGAATATAATATCTATGTTGTTGATCTCTATTTCGTTCCAGTTCGCCGCATCACTGTTCTGAACATCTCCAGACTTTTTATGAATAATAGCAAGAAATCCCCTTCTATAATTCCATCCATACGACAAGCGATGTTAATTGGAAATAAGGTGAGTGGTAGCACATGCTAGCATCAACCGTTGATGGCATAATTTCGGATAGCTTTCTCTTTCGGTTTTTACTTAGAAGCAAGCTGATGACGATTCTTTGGTTTGTACCAGTACCAGTTTGCCATCGAAATGAATGAACGAATTGTACAGGGTTTGGTTGTTCCATTGGCAGGGATCCAATTCTCGACCGGCGTCACTACTTCGCTACACGCGTCGGCAACATAATAAAATGAAGATTTATTTGACAAAAAATTTTTGTTATAAATTAATTTATGCGTTGCAAATTTTGGATTTGTATTTTTACGGCTCTCCAGTAAAAGGCAGTATTCCAAGAAGCAGCTGCAGTATCGCTGAGAACATTTTCCCAAGCGATCAGTCTTGTTGCGCATGTATTGTTTTGAAATAATTTAACAGTTCTTTTTTTCTGTGTGAATTTCTCTGCGCAATAAATCAGTTTTCTTTGATTCTACAAGAACACACTACACCTTTCCTGTTCATATTTTCAGGTTTCAATTTATTTGGGCTAGTAAATAAGTAAAATACCATAAACGGATTATGATAAAGTGAAAAGTGACCTACGCCCAGCTAAAAAAAAGCTACCTGTAAGTACCAATTGTCTGTGTGATGGATCAGATTGTTCACTGCGATATTAGTTCTTGAGATGCAAGTTTTATAACATTAAATAGATGCATAAAAGGATGGATGCACGGGACGAAATGTGGTATTTTGTGTTAGTAAGTTGCAACACATTTCTAGTGAAATACTGTAATTTTAGCAAGACACGGCGCACACGATAAAAAGGCTTTCTTTCGAGTAAGTATCATAAGTGTGCTTTGGACAGGCAATGGGTACTAAATCAAAATATGCAGCCAGTCATCAAAGGCATTTCGTATAGCTAATTGTATAGGAGCATCCTTGTAATATCACTTATGTGGTAGCTTGAAAAAGAGCTGAGGCAATGCAACAGAGCAGCCGAAATTCGCTGCTGAGGGGACTCATGTACGAGCCCGTGGAAATTTTTGGCAGGAAAACTGCTAACCCGGGAGCCAAAAAAGCTTGAAAGCTGTAATTTTAAGGGGTATCTCTTGTCCATGT